TTTCCCTAAAAAACGTACCAAGGGCACAAGGAATAGGAGACGCAACCTGTTCCACGGAAAATACCGGATTGGTTAACGAGCTGAACTCGGCGTCTATCAGGTTTTCTCCTGCGCTTTTTAGGAGAAATCCTAAAATCGGCAGAAGCATCGGGCAGTATTTTCCGAGCGACAAACTACTCAAGTCTTCTTACGCTGAAGACCATGTAGTATTCAAAAGGATAAATAAAGTTGAAAAGCGTTTATTCGATTTCATCGTGTGTATTCCTTTACACCGTACCACTTTCCCACACAACAAATAATTGCAGAGTATTCCATAAATTACTAAATATAAAATGAACTCTCGCTAAGTCAGGGTAAATATTTACGCGCCACTAATGTCAGAAATACTTGTACAAACTATTTCCTTAAGGACGGTGAGAAAGGGAATCATTTCTGGCATTGCCTGGCTTCTTGCCCAAATCCGCATTAAATACTTTCCATATAAAGGTTGGATCGCGTAACATGGCCATCTCGACTATTTTCAATTATTTAGTTACTGGATAAACTATAACAAATTTTTCTGTCACAAATAATGTGATGTGAAATAATAGCGAGAAAATAATGACACTTGATATATGCTAAATTGGCCATGTTGCCAAAGTCAGAAAAAATCATATTATTGGAAACGAATACAATTCAAGTATTCGCGTAAAGCGATCCAACGTTCTACTCCAAAATAGTATTTTTTTCACCTTTACCTGAATATATTCCTCCTCCGTATCCCAAATTTCTGTATGCTTTCCAAACTCATCTACAAACAGTTCTAAATGAATACTACCAATTCCGTATGCGAAAAACAAATATTCCAATTAAACTCGTTGTAATAACGTGTCCTCAAGATTTAGAACGATCAAAGTTCAAATCGCCACGTGATGGGGATCGTTATGCCATCGTGATGTTTTATACACTTACTGACAAAAGTTAAGAAACGAAGTATTCGTTTGGGAATTTCGATATGTTCTCTAATTCCTAAGACACAGAGGTTGAAATTAAAAACAGTATAAATAAATAACATTCCATACATCAATAAGCAATAAGTTTTTCACGAACATATTTGTGCAAGGGCAAAAATTGAATAATATCGAAGAAATAAGACAAAAGCTGCGTGACATATGTTAAGAAACATATTTTGTTTAATTTATGCAACCACTTTAAATAAAAGCAGTGATATGCAGACGTCTGAAATTTCCATAACCGTCTAATAAGGTTTTGGGCAATCCTTAGATTTAAGGACTGCATGGCATCTGCGAGGTTAATTCGAATTATTGACTCAATTAATCGAACACCAAGCTCATGTATTTCTTACCACACTATCCTGCTTTCTTTCATTAAATCTACGTTATTGATAAAAGAACGTCTTTCCAATTGACGTCCAACGTAATCCCACAGATGTCCAATTGCGTTCAGGTCCGGAGATTAACTTGGCCATTTGACTACATTAACAATCTGTTCTGCAAGGAAAATATAAATTAAATTAGAAGAATGTTTGCGGTCGTTATCGCATTGAAACGACCCCCCTGATAACATTTCTCCATTGGCAAATGGCAGCAAGTTATTTTATAATATGTCACAATACACAATGTATATCCATTGCTCCTTCTATTTGGATTAATGGACCAGGTTTGCTACACGAGACACACAATTACATCACCGTCACCAAATTCTACTCTTCGTTTTAGGTATTTAACATCAAATTGTTATCCAATAGGTTCGCACATTATTGCTAAAGTCATTTCCTAACAGGTTGAATTTACTCTCATCGTTCCATTGAATTTTTGACCATTCTGTGGCAGTCAAATTAGGGTGCTCTTTAACAACTTCCAAGCGAGCTGCTCCAAATTTTCTTCGGCACAAGTGTTTTCTTGCATGTTTTGCGGGAAAAAAAATTATTTGCATCTAAGCGACGACTAACTGTCCTGCTCTGAATGTCTTCCGGACCCAGTTGATTATTAATTTCAAAGGCCATGTAAAATGGAATCGATTTCTAGAGCCTTGAAATTGGGCGATCTAAATTTTACGTCGTTTTCACAGCTTATCCGTGACAATGTAACAATTTACACTAAATACCTTTGCTATGACCTATTTCTTTCTTGCCAGTTTTTCAGGAGCCACTATATGTCGCCTTCTTGTCATATTTAACACAAACTATAATATGAATTAGACTGAGCGTTGTCAGAAAGGGAACTACGTATTTCCGAATACGGTTTTTACATTACGACATCAACTTATTGCATGCACTTTGTATGTTTCTCGATTTATGTAACGTAGATTTTGTCTTATTTCTTCGATTCAATTTAATTACGGTCCTTGCACACGTATATTTGAAAACAAACTCATTATTTACTCATGTATGAAATGCAATCTTTGTGTGGCATTTTTATTTTCCACCTATGTTTCATAGACGATAGAGAATATACCCAAATTACCAAATGATTGCGTTGTTTCTCAACTTTTGCCAGTAAGCGTAATTAACATTTCGGTGATATTACAATAAGTAATATAAACGTATCTACTTACATTGCACAATTACGGAAAATTCGCAGCAACATCACATTGAAAATAGTACGCGCATCTGCCATGGACAACTAAAAATATGATTTTACCTAATTGCACTGACGCCACTGCTGCGAGATGGTAATAGGAAACACCGTATTGCGCCTCTAACAGTGATTAAACATTGTATTTATGTATTAAATTAATTTGTATGGTCGAACACAGTAACATTCAACTTTTGCTTTCAATGGACAGATTTAAATAACGTTAGTATTAGAATTAATATACACGAGATTTGAAATATTGTGTTACTTCATAATACTTTTTAAATTTATCCTTTTTTCAAAATCAAAGGAAATAAAAACCGAAATTTACACGCTACGGTTATGGAATTTGGTGCAAAATTAAAGCTGATAGCTATATCGAGTTGTAAAGTTAGATGTATATAATTATAGGAGATGAATCTGCTGTAATTTTGAAAGCAATTAAGTAAAAGTATCGATAGACGAATCGAAGAGTGTATTGTAGTACAATTCTCAGTCGAAGGACTGTTCACCAATTTCAACTGCCTATTTGAAATTAGTTTCAAATAATGCAGCGACATAAGGCCTTTTTCACTTAGAAGCATTCATCTAATAATACATCCCAAGCAGTAATTTTGATATTACATTGCAGATGCAAAGCATGAACGCTTTTCCTTTATATGTTCATATCCATAAGGAGAATAGTTTTCGTCCTTAAGTAGTATATAAATGAGATGTCGTGTAATGTGAGGAAACTTACAATGCAATTCTATTGCAACCGATGTTGAAACAGGTTGGCTAATATTGTTGTTGGATGCTTGACATGTAAATACCGCATGAAGGTCAGCTCTTGAAAGTTCTCTCACTATTAGAGTGTTTGTATATACAGACGGAAGTTCTCCTGGTTCATCTTGTGAAGCAAGAAGCATTTCTCCGCGCCACCATCTTAATTTTGGTTCCGGTTGACCTAAAAAAGAACACAAATGTGTAAGTGTCTTTCACATATTTATGGCTAATATATAATTTTGCAATGTTTCTGATATCCTTTCGTGTCGCATTTACCATACTGAAAAGTGAATATAGGAATGGCACCAAAATATCATGTTAAATTATAAATATAAGTTAAATATACTGTAACTATATAATTGCATATACCAGTTCATGTCCGTGATTAATGCATAACGCGATGCAATATATTTTATATTTGAATATGATCGCCTTTATATTTGTAGCATACGCTCTGTTTTAATAAATTCTTATTACCGCATGTCCATGTGAAAGTATAATAAATAGGAACGTGAATAACTTTCATTCTGACCTTGCTATTACCTACATAATTATTGCTTTCAGTAATTGTATTGCAAATTTCATTGCAAAATGCATGTTTTGGCATTCAGTATATAACTAAGTTTCATGAAAGTTGTAAAGTATCTGTTACGTCCAATGAACTGAATTTCACCGATTGTGACGAACGCATCACGCGCTAACATAGTGATGCACGATTAGTTCTATAATCTTACGGTTGGTGAGTTTAATCTAAGATAGATTCTTTATTCGTGACTAGTATCGTGATTATTTATTCTATCTAAGCTGCACAAGTTAAATATGGAACGTTATTGCAGTACCTCTTCGGACACACGTTTTACATTGTTCATAATATGCATCAATGTAATATAAAATATTGAAGCCTTTAAAATTATCGAAAGAATATGGATTAGAATAAAACTTATGGTAAAAACACGGCTGCTGGTATGAAAGATTTGCCCCCATTTCAATGGTAGCAGCGTTAAAGAATTTTGGCTATATTTATATATCACGAGTGGAAATTGCAGAATGAAGAAAAATTGTATATTTATTACAGTCCATCACATGGTTCCTCCTTTTGGTACGAAGGAACTAGTTTCTTGACACATCTCTTACAAAGGCCAACTGCGGATTCAACCGTTATTACAGAAACAATTCTGTTGTTTTCTGTGCGAAGTTCCATGATACGGAGTAAAGGCTAATGTAATAATGGTTGATTGTACTCCTTCAATAACGTAACTGCGTCCCTTTCAACTTTGGTTCCTTGTACGTTCGGTTCATTTCGCACTATCTGTTACGCACCCAATTCGTATACTCGTGAATTCCATTTACCAATGAATTCGGTAGGCTTCGTCTCGGTTGATCCAATAATTGGATGAAGGTACACAATCCTCGAGATGACTGTCTCCGGTTTGATTACGTTCATATGCAAGAGTGAGGCCCTTGGTCTGCGAATAAGGCACGCCAAAAGAAGGGAAGAACGTCCCCCCAAAGAGACGCTGGTGGAGTCTCTTCACTTAGAATCAGGTCCTTGGCGGCACTTTGGTGCCCATTTCTGTAAGGTAACTAACGAGGTCTCCTTGACTTTATGGCTTCGAAAGTCGTGAACAGCGCACATGTATAGCAGCGCGTAATCTGTTTCTTTACTGACCTATTATAAAGCCAAAACCTAAGTGCTGTTTCCCACATTCCTAAAATTAACCGCTAAAGAATTTCTCGTGTCCGAGGACACGAGGAAAATGAAGAAAGTTCTTCATGCGTTACAGATAAAATATAAAGTGCCGAATATGAAATAAATCATCATTTAGGGTCTGGCTGCTAGGAGACCGCAACCGGTCTTCCAGGCCCTGGGTTCTATCCGACGATGGGACTACATGAAATATAAAATCCCAAACACTATTAATTGTTTTAAATATTCCTTATACCATCTGGCACAAAAGTGCTGTTTGGATTCCCATATATGCTACTGATAATCGATTAGATGGAATTGTCGTCTAATCAATTTCTGGTAAACTATTCAAGTTGTCTCCAATTTAAATATATGTCCAGGAGTTAGAGCGATAATATATCATTTGTGTCAGTTAATATAGGATTTGGAGGGCGTGAACGTAGTATGGCCGCAATCTCAATGATATTGGTTTTCAAATACTCGTATGTAAATAGGATCTCTACTATGATCCTTTTCATGTAGTGTTTGAAGGACCTGACGGCCACATCCCATTATCAGCCAAAATGTTGTGACCTCAGGTGTGCAGGATGCCACTGGGTTTCTCCATCCGCTGAAATGTGTGCTGCCCCTTCATTATAATTATATGATTTTAATAAATTTCTAGTATTCATATATTCATTTCAATGAAGTTAGTAGCATTGACGTTATAGATGATGCTTCCTCTACGTGTAGCAAATTTTATATAAAGTGCGATAAAGCCTTCTTCAGTAAGATCACTTACCAGTTTGATGTGAATGGACCTGGTACCTAGACATACAAGTATAGCGACGTACGTTTCAATTTTCTTTTGACTTCAGTGACGTTCCTCCTTAATATACATTGGACCATAATAATCCAATCACACATTTGTAAATGGGTTCCCTTCGATCTTTGCAACTTTTACATTATTGAGTACAATCTCTTTCCGCTGTTTCGGAATCTCAGACACAGTCCTCAACTCCCTTCTCGGCCAATCTGGATCGTTTTTGTTCAGCCATGTCAAACCATTAAACCATACTCCATTAGATAGAAATTGCAATGGAAGTTGGCCTCTCGAGAGTGCGACTGTAAGATGGTCTGAACATGATTTATTGTTCAGGATTTATATTGCACGCTGTCCCATCGTGGAACAAACTCCAGACCTAGAGATCCGTTAAGGACTTCCGGCAGCCAGACCCTATGTGCTGACTTATCTCGTGTTAGGTGTTTTCCATTTTATACGATTACGGTTCTCCTTTTCAAAATGTACTTTATTTCCGCGGGTCACCGGACACCAGGCTTTCTTCAGCACCTAATTTTAGAAACTAGGCAACAGGACTTAGGATTTGACTGACAATGGGCTTGTAAAAGGAAAAACCGGGTTATGTGCGATAGCCACATCTTTCAAAACCATAAATTCACAGTCGCCTCTCAAGAAGTATGACGAATGTGCAGGTGGCCCTCCAACAACCCCACTCCGAAGGAGGTGTTTCCTCCACCAGCGATCTTGGAGGCAACCGATTCTCAGACCGAGGGCGTGTCTTCTGCTCGAATACCTGCCAATCAGGAAAACGC